CTATTCTTTTTACTGCATTACTGCGACTCCCATTTTGAAAAACAGGAATTTTGTAGGTACGGAGATAAGTATTTTTATAAAGCTAAATAGATTTTCAGGTTAGATTAATGCTTTCATTAAATTCCCCCCATTTGCTAAGAATGAAAAAAATACACTCATGCCATATAAAAATATTAGTGACAAACATCATGTATGCTGAGGTATATAAACAGGCTTTTCTTTAAAAAAAATCCTGACCTCTTTGGAGTAGATATTTATGTGGATTATTATTTTGTTTCAAATTATGTTTTAATCAAAGTATTATAATGTTCCTATATATAAAGAGAAACTAAATAATCAAGGACATTTTCAATGAAGAAGCGATCATGGGAAGATTATCTTTCCTAAAACACAAATATGTTAAAATCCCTGGCACACAAAGAATGCTTAAAATGTTTGCACAATATCAATGTAAAATCAAATTGATTCAAATACAGAACATAAAAAACTATATTGTTTATTGGAAGATGGTAAATTTGCCATTTATAACAAGAAAACAGAACAACATACTTCACCGCACTGATAACAACATTGCGCTTTGGTTCGTTATCATAGCTCACACTCTCAATGCCGTAAGCCTGAGCAAGTTCATGGATGATTCTACGGTGTTCTCGGTTCATGGGTGGAAAACAATGACTCTTCTTTGTGTGCTTGCTCTGCATTGGAGAGATATAATATTTTGATGGGAGTTTGGGGAAGACTGAGCCATACCATCTATGTTCGCTTTATACATGGAGAATTGGGTAATGATTTTAAGTGTAGCCAATTCCTTGGTATATATACTGAACAAAAAAACAAAACCCTGTGATTAAGTCTCAGAAGATCATTTTAAAATTTATATTATATCCATTTTATATACTTATATGCCTTTTATGCATCTCTTTATATTCTCACAATAATTTTATAACTGAACAGAGCTGAAATAAAAACCCATACTTAAAATATCAAACTTGAAAAACATTGCTAGTTGGTGTTCCAAACAAACACCTCCTTCCTACTGAACTGAAATTAAGAAATATGATACCACTTGTATGCAAGAAACCTGAGCCTTGAAATCAGAAGGATTCAAGTCTTTTATTTTAAGGGCAATCTCACTTCCAATGATGAACATTTTTGTGGTGTCTTTGCATATTAACTGGGTCTAAGTTTATAATACATTAATTTTCTTTTACCTATTTGTCCTCCAGTTTCATATATCTACCCCATAGGTGAATTATTATGCATTTTATTATTTAGCGTCTATATTCCTCCTCAGTTGCTCATGTCCCATATTGAATGACATCTGGAACATCTGAATTTTATATTCTGAAGGGGTACATTGATGACACGCAAATTCGTGAAGCGTTCCATATTTTTCATGTTTGTAACTTGTCTGTTTTTCCCCTCCCTTGAATTGTGAGCCGCCCTGAGTCCCCTCAGGGAAAAGGGCGGCATACAAATAAAGTA